GTCCCTGCGCAGCTGGCTTCTAACTAGGGACGTGGTGCCACGAATCGGAAAGCGGTGCGGGCTGCTGCTGCCTCAGGGGTGCTGCTGTGGGGAGCCGGGGTCTGGGAAGAGCGCGCAGAAGGGGCCATACCGGGCTTAAACAGACTTTTTTTGCTCCCATAATGGAGATGAAGATGACCAGAACTTTGCATTAGAAAGGGTGACAGTCAGGAGCCACAGCCACAGAGGGCTCGGCTCCAACTGAGACCAGCCGCTGGGGAGAGTAGTGGTTAGTTTGGTCTCTTGGAGACCTTCTAGTTTGTGAGCCTTTTCTCATCCTCTAGTGCTTGCATGCTTTGCTGCTTTAAAAACACTGTGCTGTATTCAGATCAGAGAAAGGTTAAAAACAACCATGCCTGAGCTGCCACATGAAACTCTAAGCAGTGAGGCTCAAGGCATTGGTGTGTAAGAATAAGTATATATGTATTTTAATAGTATCTCCTGTGGCCTTCATTGGGGTATTTATTCAGAATGATCTGATCTACACCTCTTTCAATTAGCACACATTTTGAGGAGGTGCAGTTCTTGAAACAGCATCTGGTGTCTTTTCCTTCTTTAAATTTCCTCTCCAGTTTCAGTGCTTAATTTCTAAAACAGAAAGATAGAAGCAGTAAAACCTTTTCTTCTGCTACCAAGAACCTGTGTGGAGACTGCAGCTGTAGTAGGCATCTCAACCAAACTTACTTTCTTAAATGGCAAAAAGCCTTGTTCTTTTTAAAACAAGCTGCCTATTCCTTCTTTTGTACCTTTCTTTCAAATCGTATTTTGCTACTTTTAAAGTCAAATTACGGAAAGGGGTAGAGGTTGACTTTTAAGATGTTTTGCATGTAGGAAGTAATAGTGTGCTCAAAAAAGAGGGCAGTGTAATCACAACTTGGCTGTAATGCCATCTCTCACAGAGGTGCTGATTTACTGTTTTGTGAGTTTAGTTTTAGTTCTGCCCCCATGCTCATGTCTTTGTTTTTAACAGAGCATACCTGACGTACCTCCTAAGCCTGGAGAGCTGCAAACAGAACTGTTGGGTCTAAAAGCAACATCAAGCAACGTTCAGACTTCACAGCAGTGAGCAGACTTGACTTACGCTATGAAAACCAGAACTGATAAAACCCTTGTTCAACAGCCTTAACTGCAGAAATCAGTATATGAAATACTGTACTCCTTTAATACTTCTTTTTGTTCTCCTTAAGCAGTTACAGGCAGTGTTAAAAATAAATGAACAAATACTGTTGTTGTAAGTCCGATCAGTTGTGTGCCAAAATGCTTATGAGTTCATCTTGATTGCAGTGTAAGTATCCTTCAGAATAAAAGATATGAACTCTCAGTGGCCAGTCTGATGGAATTTGAAACTTGTCAGCTGATCAACAAGCACAAGCAGTTTAGCATATTGAAAAGTCAAGCTTTTATGGCCTCTCAATAAGCTCTGCTGTTCATCTGCAGTAGAACCCTGCTTACCCATTGGCATTTCCTCCCTTTTTAAACTCAGTAGTATTGGATGTACCCCAGAATGCGATACAGTAAGCGATGGCATGTATAAATCAGATTCCTTATGGCAGTGCTTTTTGCACTGGCCTCCTCTTGGTGCTGGCTAACTGCCCTAACAACAGCTAACGCTGGCATTCTGTCTGTATCGCTGACAGGAAATCTGCTTTGGTCTGTAAGGCTGGGGAGGACCTTACAATGTGGTTGTGTAAGTTAAAAGGGGGTGAATACATACAGATTACACTCAAATTGTGTACATTTGTACTCCACTGGGACATCTTTCTCCCTTTATGACTGGCTTTGATAACTGTAAATATACAAAACTCTGAAATAACAAGTGCAGGTTTACCTTTTGGTCCCAGAGTAGGATTGCCACGTAACTCCCACACCAGGAACTCAAGGAGACACACAGAGGCATACGTATGAAGATAGATACACAGTCATACAAGTTTGGTACAACAAGCTGTGTTTGAATGGTATGCATTAGAGCTGGTGAAGGATGGGGATTGCTTTCTCTTCATCCTCAGTTCTCATTCAGGTTTAACTCAGGAAAGAAAACCACCATCTGACAGATTTCCCATTAAGGAAACAGAAAAAGCTCCCAAATTCCTACTGGCAAAATACCTAGAAACATTTTTAATAGCAGAGGGATCCAGCAACGATCACTGAAAGCACTCCATTTACATCTGTTCCAGGTATGAAGCTGTTGGTTTATTTAAGTTGGAGTAACTTTCCTAAGAAGAAAGCTTTACAGTTCCTCTGCATGGGCAAGTGCCTCTGCTCCCACACAGTTCTGCAACTCTTGGCTAACCTACAGTAGAAGCTGAACAGGATGAGATCCTTTACTCTTCTTATCTGCCCATGCCTCTATTACTGGATGACAGGTTTGCTCTCTCACCCTTACAAGTGACTGCAGTCACAGATAAAAAGGCTCCAAAGTAAATCTCAGCTGCTAAGCCCAAATGAAATCAATGGGTGAGAACATCTTGCTGGTCCAGGTCCATTTCTGGTGAAACCACTTTTTCCTTCACTGTTCCTAAACAAAGCTGGGTTGTTTTGCTATGTCCGCAGTACAAGATAAAAGTTTACTGAGATGACAAGATGGGGTTTTGTCCCTGTTCTAACTACTTCAACAACATCAGTTTTTCAGATATCCCTTTAAAGAACCAGGATTCACCAAGTCTTATCCTCTTACTCAAAAATTTAGCAGGGTACCTGTCATTAGGTTGTTGATTTCTGACCCGCTTTTCTAAAGGCTGCAGAGGGAAGTTACTAATTCTGATATGGCTGGGATTTCTAAATGTATCCTGCTGCTGATGGCAACTGAGCAACAGGCAGCGTGTTTTACCCCAGCCTTTTCTAGCACTAAGGGAACAGTTTTCATTAGTGCCCACTTGGAACAGCAAAGCTGACTCTACACCAGCTTTTAACAGCAGGGGCAACAACTCTGGAATTGGTGACTGCAGCACTGAGATAGCCTCAGGATGACTGGGAAACACTCCTTCCAGCATTGACACCACTTCACAGAGCTGACCCAAAAAGCAAGCTTACAACTGCAGTTTGTGCTTATTAATAGCAAACTCTTGTCACTCCAGGGTAGAGGAAGCAGCTGGACAACAGGATGTTGCACTTTACAGACTCAGCTAGCTGAGGAAGACAAAGCACAAAGCATGACCCTCGTGCTCTTTATTATTTCTGCAGTTGGATCAGGTATGTCATTCTAAATCCAATCAAGGCAGCAAGAACTTCAGCTATGTAACACAGTAAAGGTTGCTCAAGTCTACAAGTAATTAACAGATAAAGAACAGTGTAGCAAGCAACCCTATGCTTCCAGTGCTCTGCTTTGTTAGCTGCAGAAGCTCTCCTAACTATGCAGCAGGCACATGCTATGTTTGCTACTCAGCCTGGTAAAACAGGTATGGAGGGGTGTGCATTGGTGGTATTCTGAGAAGTGCATCACTAAAATGATACTGTAGAAAGTATGAACTCAAAACCTCATCAGCAGTTCATTACTACAGAGCACAGAAGTTGCACTGCCAAAGTAAGAGGACCATGCTTTGAGAAGAAATGGTGCACCTGCCCTATTCAGTAACTAGCACAGGACTGCTGTAGCTAGCTGCTGAACTACACTTCAGGGGTAGACTACTGCCTGCATGCCCTAACAAAAAAAAGGCTCTTAGGTATATCTAAGATACTACCACAGCAAGCAAAGAAACCAAAACAATCCCAAACTCCCTCAAAAAAGCAAAATTAGGCTCCCCTTTCTTGAACTCTCAAGCAGCATACTTCAATAAAGCCAACATCTCTATACAAACCCTAACACAATAACCACACTGATACATGGCATTTGTATTTATTGCATGGAAACAGGATTTGGGTGATACAGAAAAACCCTAGTAAATTAAAAGCAACTCCTTCAGGTCAGTGCTCAGTGCCCTCACCTAATTTGGAACAGTAGGTTTTGCTTCACATAGCAGAACCTCCAACTTCACAAAACTTCAGTTAACAAAAGTGTTTTTTCAGTTGAGTCACTGTACAGAACTACTACTCCTATGCAGGTCTTTCAGAGCAAGGCAGAATATCCCAAACAAAACACTTGAGCATAAATGCTTTCTACCAACCCCATAAAGGGATTTCTAAGTAGAGGCACAAGTAAGAAAACGTAGTGCTTCAGACAAACACCACATAAAGCTAATACAATGAATAGAAGAGAAAGTGGTACCTCCAGTTCAACCTGTCTACGTTACTATTTGGTATCAACAGATTTAGTCTGAGTGACAGTTAAGTACCTACAAAACTTTGCCAAGAGACACAGAACAGGAATGAAAAAGTTCAGGAACAGCAGCATTAAGAATTAACAACTGTAAGACATGAGTTTCCAACTTTAAAAAGAAACAACTGTGGAAAGCAACACTGCTGTACATACAAGAAGTCAAAGGCAGAGTTACCAAGTACCATGGAGGACGGTGTATGCTCACAGGCAGTAAACCACTTCAGGTTGTTCATGTATTTAGTGGAAGGAAATGTTTTTTTTTCCCTTGTCACAGCTGTAAAAGCTACCCCTGCCTATTCTGTAAGTAGACTCAAGTTTTATCTAGTCCAGTGCAAGCTGGCAGGACATCAGTTCCAATGCCATTTTTAAATGCCCTATCTCATCTTTCTTAAGATGTCCGTAGACACATAGCTTTTTGAATACTTACTTCAACTATGAAGTCAAGTACAGCTCTTGGATACCAGTTACGTTTTGGCTAAACAGCACAGCAGGTTTAAGACAAAACCTAATCACTGGCACAGGCTACACAGTTAAGCATGGCTGTGCCAGTGCGGACAGGCACAAGGACTGCAAACTGCCTGCTGTACACAGGAACTGAACACTCCAGGCAATCCCTTTGTTTCTTTGTGCTAGCCCACAAGGTGAGATTATTATGTATAAATTTAGAGTTAGTGGTGTTTGGGAACATTTTATTTTGTACATGACAAGATTTTACACCAAGTCAGTTAAATAATACAAATTTACATTCATGAGGAATGTTTTTAGAAAAGTGAACTTAAAAAAAAAAATTCCTCCTTCACCCTTAAACCCCATATACCATCCCTCAACATTTTACAGTGGAAAAAACCAAACCAATCTAATTCATATTCCCTCTTAAACCCCCATTGCAGAACAGTAGTTGAGTGGAGCTTACAGTTCATCTTTCACATCTGTGGATTCCTGTGGAGACAAGAAGAAAATCAGACTCTAACTTTTTGAAAGTGGAAAAGGTTACAAAAGCTGTCCCAGAAGAAGCAAACCCAACCATTGCTGATGCTTTCCAAAGCACTAAGTAACTAGCAACTTTTTGAGGTATTAAACTTCTGTTCAAATGATGGCATCTTAAGTCTCTGCTATTAAAAGAAAAGTAGTTTTTCAGCGTGCTCTCATGGTAGCAGTAGATCTAGTACCTCACACTAAAAACTAGTGTCATGAAAGGTAAAGTGAACACATTTGTTGCCAGGCAGCTCCACAGACAAAACCTCACATAAATACAGGCAAAAAGTCAAACTTTAGACCTTACCTTCTGTGATTCACTGTCTTCAGCATCAGCATCGACCTCCTCTTCATCTTGCTCTGCCTCCTCAGCTGCATCCTCAGGCTCTTCAGGTTCCTCCTCCACCTGTAGGAAGGTCACAAGCAATTTGCTTTATTTGCTTAGGACATTTACTAGTTGTTCATTAGCTAAATACAGGCTGTGGAAGTATTCACTATCAGCTCCTAACATTTGTCCCAAGCTACCTGAAGGAAAAAGCAAATTCTTTTTAGCAATGACACATTAATCATGCTGCCTCTGGCAAGGCGTACGCTCTTGCACAGCGTTATGAGAACCCATATTACTTATACCCACTTACTAATTTCTCCATTATGAGATGGGCACACATACCTTTGGCCCCTAATTTACTCCCATAGGAAAAACAGTTAAGGGCAATACTTGAGAAGCATTGTATGAGAGCAGAATCCCAAAGAAATAAAAAAGGGTGGAAAGGAGGACAGGAGCACTGAGTACAGACTGTAGTTTCCCATGTGTATGTTTGCTGGTGGCCCTACGAAGCACAGGAAGCCAGATACATTTCATTTTATGCAAATTTGCCAATTATCAAGCCCCAAGTTGAAGGCAAACTGACCTTTGCATCCAGGTCAATGTTTAAACTCAAACGAAGCATTCTTTCTATCCTGTCTCCATATTCCTTGGTGTCTGGTAGCATATATCCTGATCTCAAAGTTGCAGTTTCAAACAATACCACTGCAAGATCCGAAACTGTTTTGTCATCTTCATTTTCCTAATGTAGGAGAGTATTTAAAACAAAACAAACAGAACTGTTAGTCAGGTTGTATGCAGCCAAGTAGTCAGTATTTCACTACTGTTACTTCTTTACCTTGACTCGCCTAAGCATGTCCTTGATCAGCGGATGCCTGGGATTAATTTCAAATGTCTTCTTTTGGCTAGCATAATAACTGAAAAGAACCAAAGTGACATTATTAAGTTTTGAAGTACAAGACCCAGCTACATCTTTAAACCCTCGAATACCAATTACAGCCACAGTAAGCATATTCCTCCCCCTGCCCCACTTTAATACTTGCTCAGCTCTGAAAAGCATTCCAATTACTAAGACGCTTCATCTTCTCTTGTCACGAAATTACATATATAGCAAATGCCACTGATTATTCTTGCTCAAAAGGCAGTTTTACATATTTGGCTTCAAAATAGCAAGGTAAGACTGAGGAAGACTGCAACTCTGTTATGAGTGACCTTAAAAATATAAAGGATCATCTAAACTAGATAGAAGCTTGTGCTCACACCAAGCACAGGAAGCCAACTACAGTTCATGTCTGCTGCTATGTAACTGAAAGCTTACTTTGTAGAGATATCCTTCCCAGTTTGGTAAGCTTGAGCCTTCATGATCCTTTCCATGTTACCAGACCATCCATACTGACTAGCCACAAGAGCACAGGGAGACTGGGTTAAACGTTGAGATAGCACAGCTTTTTCAATCTGCAGAAAAAATCCCAGCCTTAATGTTAGTGCACAGAACTAGTAGCTTATACAGGGAATAAAGTAGGTAACTCTGAAATTTCAGTGTTTTCTGAAGGCTCTAAGATGACATTCTAACTCCTTATTTTCCCCGAAATAAGTAGTATCAAACATCTATGTTTACTCACAAAAAGACTACATAAAAGCTACTGTAAAGTCTATGCTTAAAGAATCTGCAAGGTGTGTTGTAGCAATCACAGCAGCATTTACAAATAAGCATTACATACAACATAACATTTTACCTTGTCTTTTAGAGCTTTGTCCTTCATCCAGTTTAAGAGTGGTTCAAACTCCTTTTCCAAGGCTTCCCGACTCTCCTTAGACTTCTCACTTTCTTCAAACTTAACTCCTTCTTTTGCCACATTCTGAAACCTCTTGCCATCAAACTCTGGCAAAGCCTGAATACAGTATTCGTCTACAGGTTCAGTAAGATAAATCACTTCATAGCCCTTTTTCAGAAGGCGTTCAACGAATGGTGAAGACTCAGCCTAAGACAACAAAATAGATCAGATGCCAGTTTAATTGCACTGGTACCATCAGCTACTGAAACCTGTACAACTATTTGACAGAAGTTGGTACAAGGAAAACTGCAGTAGTAACACATGCATGGAGTCTTCATATTTACAGAAAATGGGCAGTTCACTATGTTTATGGCACTACTATAACTAGGAGCTGTATTATTTTTCCCCCTTTCCCTCTTTCTTCCATGTTCACATACCTCCTTTCTGCTGGCACCTGCCATGAAGTAAATTTTGTCTTGCTTCTCTTTCATTCTTTCCACATACTGGTCAAGGCTTGTGAGGTTACTTTCATGATGAGAAGACTGGAAGCGAAGAAGTTTAGCCAGTCGTGTACGATTGGAGTGATCCTCAATAACTCCAAGCTTCACGTTAGTACCAAACTCTTTCCAGAATGTGTCATTGTATTTTTCTTCTGCAATTTTCTTGATCATATCAAGAGTTTTGCGAACAAGTTTCTTTCTGATCACCTAAAAAAGCAGCAATACCAAGCAATAAGCACTTGGAAGAACCCTCAGTTCACCTTACTGCACCAAATGGATTCAAGACTCTTGGTGTCCCCGATTTGAAGCAAACAGAGGTAGTTTGAAACCAGCAATTTATGGATTTCCTATACCTTAATTCCATACTCATTGTAAAGTAAAATCAATCAAGCCATCATTCTTTTAAATCTTTCTTCTGTCATGTTTACAATGAAGGAAAGCAGGATCAATTAGCTTACCTTTAACAATTTATGCTGCTGAAGTGTTTCACGAGATACATTCAAAGGAAGATCATCAGAATCCACCTAATTGAGGAAGAAGCTTCTTAAGTATAGATAACAGTAGTTGAAGGTGGAAAAAAAAATAACCAAAGGCAAGTAAGACTTGTGATACTTACAACACCCTTAACAAAGTTAAGATACTTAGGCATCATGTCATGGAAGTCATCAGTGATGAACACTCTTCGAACGTACAGCTGAGTTACAAGAGGAAACAGCAGCCGGGTTACGGGTTTGTGGTTTTTAAGACATGAACACATACCCACACACTTGCTTGTCCTACCTTAATGAAATCACTTTTTTTGGATCCGTATTCATCAAACAGGCCACGTGGAGCAGAATTAGGAACAAACAAGATAGATTTGAAAGTCACTTCCCCTTCAGCAGTAAAGTGGATGTAAGCCATTGGGTCATCGTGTTCCTGTGAAGAGAGAATTCTTACAGTTGATATGGGAAAAATCAGAGTTAATACTTTTCCAGAAAAACACAACTTTGCCAAAGTAAGTGCAATTATTTTACAATTAACCTATCTAACCATATTATGGTTATTACGGAAACAAGAAGTTCCAGATTCAGCAAAGTTACTCACTTAGCATTAACCTTCCATGAGATCTAGTGTTTTTTCTTGTTATTGTTTTGGGGGTTTGTTTGCTTGTTTTAACAAGCTGACCACCAACAGCACAGTAACCAATACAGTATTATCACAGCAGTTAATGTAATGCCTCCCAAGGCAGGCATTACACCGCATTTACAGAAAAATCATTTCTAGAAAGCTGTATTTTTTCTTCCACCATGTACAACACAAGCATTACCACTCTCAGACTGAATAAAAATTCCACTGTCAACATTAAAAACGATTGGCAAGCTCCATATGAGCAGGAACATACTACTTCTTAAACTTAGGCCACTCAACATTTGGGTGGTGGTACCATCTCTCTGGAAAGAATACTAACTCCTGACTCAGATGCTATTCCTTCTAGGCACTCTGCAATTCAATCTACACACTGACAGCAGTTAACTCTTCAGAAATAGTCCATCCTATAAGCCTTCAGTTTTGTTTAGACTTTGGAACAATCTTGGGACTCAGAACTTACCTTGGAAAAGGTTTTGTAAAAAGCTTTGTATTCATCTTCTTCAACTTCTTTAGATGGTCTCTGCCAGATTGGTTTTATGTCATTCATGAGCTCCCAATCCCAGACGGTCTTCTCAACCTAGGTATATAAGCACAATAGTTAATTGAGACTCATTCTTTACTTCTGGTTCAGTCAAAGACACTCCAATGGGGCTACAATGTCACTGAGGCAATGTCATAAAACAGCATTTCAAAAATATGTGCTCTAATTACAAAATAACTTATGCAATGGCCTGGACATTCTTATTCAAGTATATACATTGGTATAACGAAAACAAAACTTGCATCTACACTACAGTGAGTCGTATGTACATTTAACACATTCACCAAGTATCAGTATTTCTTCTGCCATTCTGAAAAAAGCTTTCCAGCAGAGTGTGCTCAATTTAAACTAGTCAACAGTGTCACATTACTGGAGTCCACTGGAGTTCAAGTATTTATAGACAGGGGACCACTGTCTCACAAGGCAAATGACACTGCCAAGTGCCAGTCATATGCCTGATTTCAACTAAGTCTGTTTTGCTTATGGTCTTCTTTCCAGACAAGGTGTCTAACTGCACTTAAAACAGGAATTGCTGTTTGAAAGCACACACACGCTACTGAAATGCTTCTCTGGAAATTACTGAACTATCTGACATGAGTTACAAAACCAAGTCTAACAAAGCTCACCTTCTTAGTCTTTGGTTTCTTTTCTTCTTCCTCTTCTTCAACTGCAGCTTCATCATCATCTGTTTCTTCTTTCTCCTTTGCTTCCTCCTCTTCAATAGGTTCTTCAACAGTCTCTGTCTAAAGAGACAATTTAAAGTGGGGACTTAAGACTGCTTGGCTTCCTACAAGGTATGCTCTAGTATTCTCTTGAACAGCTTAATCTCTCAGAGTGCTAGTTTAACTTGTGCTGTTTGCCTGTCACAAGCATTCCTCTATAGGTAGCTACGTTTAGTAGCATTTTTCATGAATACATGCTGCTCTCCTTTAATATACTGGGAAAGTTACTGTACTCAAGTTTTTTACAACTTAATGTTTAGCTTTACACATAATGGTCATCAGAGACTGGTGATTTAACTTGGTGCTACACTTGAGAAAACATCACAAGAGCAAGCCTAAAAATTAAGATGCTGCCCTACTTCCAGGACACCTAACCATGGCGCTGCTTAAGAGCTTACCAGAGCTTCCAACTACCAAAGCCAGTGGAAGAAAGATCTTTTTTAGAAATTAGTACAGTTTTTTTCCTTTGGTAAAGTTCTTCGAGTGATTTTAACAATACACTAACTTTTGGCAAGTAGCTAACTAGTAAAACACTAGCCAGAAGAGTCAGGAACAGAAGGATTTCAGAAATTAAAACACATTCTATAGTATTCCCTCATCCTTCTATGAAGGATCCGGCCAGACAGTTTTCACAACCAAAGTTTACACTGTACAATGCTCAGTTAAACATACTTACCTTGCTGCTCCACACATATATGGGGAAGTTAATGAACTGTGAGTATTTCTTTACTAGATTTTTAACAGTATCCAGCTCAAGATAATCAGATGCTTCTTCCTTCAAAACAAGGCTAAAGAAAATGAAAAAAGCTTCAATTAAAGTCTGGGGACAAATATTTTAAAGTAGTTTTACAGGAAGAGATGCATTTTCCTTCTTCTGCAGTTGTAGTGATTCAGATTTATTTGAATGAGCGTTTATTACTTAAGCTCGAAGTACTTCTTAAAAAACAGAATCCCTACCAAACTGCTCCAATAAGGAAGAGTTGTTTTCAACAACTTGGACAGACAGTAGCCAGAAGTCTAAATGAAAATCTCAAATACTGATACTTAATCAGGAGCTTGATGCACTCTTACTAGCTTTACTTGGAACTAGAGCACCAAGATGAACTTTCTTCATGCTAAGTGCCCTCCTCAGAAGTCATCTAAACTCAGACCAAATAAACCAATCTGCTCATGAAAGCCATGAAAATAGGCCTGTCAAACTACCTCCAGTTTGAGATTTGCATCAGACCAGTCCCACTGGTATGTAAGCAGCAGCCAGTTTCCAAGAGGAAGCTCTACAGCCCTATGTAAGTTTTGAGGAGCCACAATGGTGCTGAGGAACCAAACGAGCCTGCAGGCAGCTGAACTGTCTGGAATTACTTGCTGACAGCTGTCAAGATGCTCATGGTTTTCTTGGTTCGTCTAATGGAATGTGACATGAACTACGTTACTACTCCACATTTATTTTCGATGTTCTACTACACTGAAAAAGGCTGTAATAAAAGCAGCAAACTATGTTATAGAGTCACAATTCTAAAGTCATCCACATATTCCAATAATCAAAACATACCAATGCTTTTTTTTTTCCTTTTAAATCCAAAGAAACTTAATGCTTACGTTATGGTTGTGCCACGTCCTAAAGTGTTTCCTCTTGGGTCATCAATCACAGAGAATTCATTTGAATCAGATTCCCAAATATGTTGAGTATCATTGTTGTGTTTTGATGTGACAATAACTCTGTCTGCTACTAAGAAAGCAGAATAAAAGCCAACACCAAACTGGCCGATTAACTCAGATGTTGACTGGCTATCATCCTGCATTTCATTCATCTTGTTTAAGAATTCACTTGTACCAGACTTCGCAATGGTACCCAGGTTTTTAACTAGCTCCTCTTTTGTCATGCCAATACCCGTATCTGTAACATGAAGCATGTTCTTCTCTTTATCACACTGGAAAGAAAAAAAAAGATGCAGCTTTAACTTCACTTTGAATTTTAACACCTAATGAAGTGCCACAGAAAAGTAACGAGTAGCAGCTATTCACATTCATGGATAGCTACAATAAAATCAAACTTGCAATAGCTACAGAAGTGAGGTAAACCTACTTTTAAGTATTTCAATACTTCAGTTACTCCTTATAGAATCAGAAATGTATTTTCACCATGTAAAGAAGAGTAGTATTTGACAATGGTAATTGCCAAGGTCCTGATGGGGTCCTAGTTTGTATTTGCATCAGTGTTAAGCCAAAAATTTGGATTTTATGATGCACTATCTTTTTACATTCCTCCCACCACTCCTCTGTAAGAGATGATTGTTCCTAATGTTTCTTACCTTGATTTTGACAGTAAGTTCCTCATTACCAGCCAGAGCATTTTCATCAGTTAAGGATATTAACCGTATCTTATCTAAAGCATCCGAAGCATTTGAAATAAGTTCCCTGAGGAAAATCTGAAATAGAAATCAGCGTTCAGGATTTCCAGAACACACACAAACAGTTCCAGCATGTTCTGCTCAAAGGCACTAACCTCTTTATTTTTATATAAAGAATTGATAATAAGTTTCATCATTCTGCTGACTTCTGCTTGAAATGCAAACTTCTCAGATTTTTCTCGGATTTCTTTGATCTGGGATGCATTTAGGCCATCTAGTTGGATAGCTTCCTCCTCTCTGTCAGGAGAAGGAAAACCTGTCAAATAGTCTTGCCCACAGACAGTGCCACTAATTTTACCATCCAGCAACAATAGTCTAATTAGAACAATACTAAGACCCTTAATCACTGCCATAGCCCAAAAGTAATACTATCAAATAAGTGCAAGAGTAGCTATCCTCAACTGCATCACCTTAATTTAAAACTTAAGTGAAAATCCATGCTTGCAAGTAAGACTTCTTTTCCCCCAAAAGAAATTTGGGCAAGAATACAGGTATGTTAAAACCACTGCAGTCCTCAGCATATGGTATACCTCTTAGGAGATGAGGCGGTTCACGGGCATAGGGCTATTTTATCAGTAGGCACTGAACTGACTCCATTTACCACATGCAGGAGAAAATCTCTACGAACATATTGCATTTTATGTTAACTATTGGTATTAGTCAAAACCAAATTGAGTATTTCTGAATCCAAGTTCTCACTCGCTTCTATTTAGAAATGACCATTTTTAAGTAACTAGGTCTCTCGAGAGGCATTTCTCCCTTCCTTCCTTCCCCCCCCCCCCCCGCCGCCTCGCATTTCTGAGGCTGTAGACATTTCTGATGCTCGAATTGACCCTTCAAAGCAAAGGAAAGCCTTAGCGTGAAGTAACTTACCCAACACCCCAGATACTAACCTCTGCACAACTTCATCATCTGTTCGGGACCCTTCTCTGCTTTTACCCAAGTCATCTTCCACGGTCCCCTCTACGTCCACCTCATCAGCTCTAACCGATACTGGGAAAACACGGAATTCAACCATATGAACCTTATCGCCACTATACACTACCGAACTTCTCCGCTTATCCCTCCCCACAGTTTTGGGCTCAGTTCTGTCCCTCCACCCCACTCCCCGAGGAGAGTTCAGCCCAACCGGAGTCACCCCGGTGGTGGAAGCGGACGGACTTTTCC